CTGGAGGCACAGTCTTCAGGTGAGTGAGTGTGGTGGGGCTGCCCTGGGGGCTAGGGTCTTCCAGCTACATGCAGAACCCAGCTTTCAGAGGTTGTTGGGAAAAACTCCCTTTTTCTGTACCCTGGCCCAGGGCTCCTGCCCACTACCACATACCTGCCTTGTCCAGGGCAGATTCCAAAAGCCCAAAGCTGCCCTTTTCAGCTAGTTGCTGTGCTATGTATGGTCAGCCCCTCCCTGGCACCAGGGCCTCTGAGAGCAATTGAAGCCTCACCCCGGGCACCTCCCAGTATGCTGAGCTGCCTGGAATACCCAAATCCTCTGCGACCACTCAGCTGGGCCCCCTTCCTACAGGAAGTCATCCCTGTCTGCACATTGCCTGTCGGGTCCCAAGGCTAGTGGGGTTTTCAGAAGAGGACACCAGCTAAGGACCAACTCCTGGGCCAAGCAAGGGGAGGCTGAATGGGTGTGTAGGGGCCACCACAGCCTGAGAAGGTCAGACCCAAGTCTGCATCTGGCCTCGTGGCCCTGAAGTACTTAGCCCATGGGCAACAGCAGGTCAGACTGTATGTACTCCCTAGATTCCTGGTGCAGGTGTTTGCTCAGGGAAACAGGGCCTGAGACTAGGGACAGGGCAGCTGCTCAGTCCCTTGTGCGCTGGCTGTGGAGAGGTTCCTACCTACCCCAGCCCAAGTCTCGTTAGCCATATTCCACTCTATGGAACAAGAGAGTGGTCTGGAGGGCTCACCTGAGCAAGGTGAGGACTAGACCAGGTGTCTCCCCACCCCTGCAGGAGCCTGGGGTCCCCAGAGCCCAAGACATTCTCTAAGACAAGATTCTAGGGGAAGTGCTTACTGTGTCTTCATTTTGATGACTCAAATGATTGAATGGCTTGAGTCAGAGGCTAACCCAGCCTCACTGCAGCATCGCTGTGGCTGGCTTGGGCCCTGGGGCTGCATACACACAGCGCTGTCTATGTGCGGTGGCCTCTGCGAGTCTGGAGTGTGATCTTTCCTGATGCTCCGCCCTCTGAGGTCTGCTTAGGAGAATCTTTCTGGTCTATGCATCCAGGTTGCCCATCAAGCTCCCTGGAGGGCCGGGCTCACCTGAGACTGACCAGCTTGTCTTGTGGAACCACCAGGGGCCAGGCTATGCTGCTAACCTGAAACTCTAGGGAGGCACCCTTTTGGGATAGATAGAAGGCCCAGGCCCTAATGCCAGCTTCCTGCTCCAAGGTGGAGTGGTAGGCTTGCCCTTGACCCCTATCCAACAGCCCTTGCTAGGCCCCCTGGGAACACCTTTCCATCACAGGGGCCCTCTGCACTCCCTACTCAGGATTGTGGTCAACACATAGGAGTGGTCTGGTGGGAGGGATGCAGACAGGACCTCTGCTTAGACCCTCAGCCACTTTGGAGCAAGTCTGAGAACTCAGGAAAGAACCAAGAAGTTTCCAGGGGGTGTCCTTGCCCACTGCTGGCTGCAGAGTGACCCATGTCTGCAGGGATGGCCTGTGGAGATGACCCCTGTCCTCCATAAGTTTCACCCAGGACACCCAGAGCTGTGGGAGGTGGGCCCAGCCCCTGGAATCCTTAGAGGCTGCTTCTCTTCCCCCCTTTTCTTCTCTATAGTCACTTGCCTACCCCGCACAGCTGACGGTCCCCACTCTTTTGCAGGCGTGGCAATAAGTACATATGCCAAATACTGCTACCACACGCTGCAGAAAGCCGCCCTGACGGGGGCCAAGAAGGTATGCGCACATCTTGGGGAACCTGGTATCCTAGCTGGGAGGCACGGCTGGCGGTGACACTCTTGTGTTCAAAGTCCCTTCAGGCAGGGGCTGCCCCCAACACCCCCCACCCCACCTCCTGCTCAGGTGTCATGCTACCAGCAGGACCAGGACAGGTGTAGGGAGGGTTTGTGCAGATCATGAAATGAGAGTAGAAATGGCTGCCAGCAGCCTGGCCCCGGCAGCTTCCCCAAGCAGGCAAGTTGAAGTCTTGGGGTCCACAGTCCTGTGCAGTGTCAAGTCCCCGCCACTGGGTAGCCCCAGACCCCATCCTAGGCTTCATCCAGTGCTGGCTGCCAGGCTTGGGAACACCCCCAGAAGATGTGCTGCTCTGAGCCCATGAAGACCAGGCCGGCCACCATCCGCCCCTCCTCCCAAGACACTCAGGACGCAGGCTTCTGCAGATGAGCTCCAGCTGCCACTCTAACCTGGGTCCTCAGCAAGTTCCTCCTGAGCCCCCACACCCTGTCTGTGAGGATGAAGAAGAGTTTGCCTGGGGCTATAGGGTCAGCACTGGGCTACCAATCACAGGGTCAGCAGTTCAAACCCACTACCTGAGTCAGAGCAGACTCCTCGGCACTTAACAACAAAGGGTGGGGAGGGAGGCTGTGCAGAGCCAGTGAGAAACCCCCGCAGACAGGTGTAGGTCTGACAAGACTGGAGGCAGGGACTCGGCCACTTGGCCTCCTGTCCTGTGCATCTTGTTACCTGGCCTCAGTAGGACACACCCGAAACCACCACCTCCCTCACACCCAGGGTTATTCCTGCGAGTGGGGGTCGCTTGGTGCCTTCCTCCCATGCCACCCCTGGGCCATTTGAAGCTTCATGGGGCTGTAGGTGGCCAGTGGGTTCCCTTGGTGGTCCAGGACTTGGGGGCTATGGAGCTCTGGGTGCACTCAGGCAGTCTCTGGCATGATGGTGATCAGAAGCCTAGAGCTCAGAGGGTCCAGACAGGGAGAGGTGGCTGAGCCCTGTGGGGGGGGGGGGGGGGGGCGGGGACCCTGCCTGGGATGTCAGGACAGGTAGGAGATGGGCTGTCTTCCAGGGCCTGCGGAAGCCCACCGTGGAGGAGATCCGGCACGCCAAGAATGCCGTGTTCAGCCCGTCCATGTTCGGCAGCGGGCTGCAGGAAGTCATGAGCATGCAGCGGGAACGCCACCCTGAGCGGCAGCTACCCTGGGTACAGACTCGGCTCTCTGAGGAGGTGCTGGCACTCAACGGTGACCAGACGGAGGGCATCTTCAGGTGCAGCCTGGGCCTGGGACCTCAGGGTGGGGCCCGGAGAGCAGCCCTAGTGGTCAGGGACACCCAGGAAGGAGTCAGTCTGTGGGCTGCTGCCTCAACCTCAGGCCCCTCAGCCTAAGCAGGCGGGTGGACTCCAGCCATAGGGCAGGGCCTGAGTGTCCACTTACTTCCACTGGACGCATGCCCTTGCCTGTGAGTGGGATCTCCATCAGGGGGAGTGGACACTGGTCAGCAGTGTCAGTCATGCTGCAGTGGCCACATTGGTGACTTACTGCGTAACTCACCTGTCAGGATCAGGCAGGAGTGAGGGCCTTCAGGCTTCCTCCTGGGAGGGTCCAGAGCTATGGGACCCTGAGCCTCAGTTCCCATGTGGAAAGGAGGCCAAACCTAGGGGGCTAGAAGAGCGGTGGGGGTCTGGGTGCCCTGTCCCCACGCCTTCGGATTGGAGGCGGACACTCTGAGACTGAGACAGGCCTGTGCTCCACAGGGTACCTGGGGACATTGATGAGGTGAATGCTCTGAAGCTGCAGGTGGACCAGTGGAAAGTGCCTACGGGCCTGGAAGACCCCCACGTCCCTGGTGAGGACTTGAGCTTTAGCTCTACAAAGCACCCACCTCTGCCTGTGTTCCCCACCCTTTGCATTGAGACTTGCCCACATCCTTTGCCCTATCTGCTAAGGTGGTCTCCACACCTGAGGGCTCACCCACCTTCCACCAGCCACGGTGTAGACCCAGAGCACCCGTTTCATTGTGAGCGCTCCACGCTGTGTTCACAGCTTCGCTGCTGAAGCTGTGGTACCGGGAGCTGGAGGAGCCGCTGATCCCGCATGAGTTCTATGAACAGTGCATCGCGCACTACGAGAGCCCGGAGGCCGCAGTGGCCGTGGTTCACTCGCTGCCGCGCATCAACCGCATGGTGCTCTGCTACCTCATCCGCTTTCTCCAGGTACTTAGTGTCCGGGCTGCCCTCCCCGGCCTTGTCCTGCTGCCCCAGTGGGCCCTACCTACCCTCCACTCCACCCCTCCTCTTAGGTGTTCGTGCAGCCTGCCAACGTGGCCATCACTAAGATGGACGTGAGCAACCTGGCCATGGTGATGGCGCCCAACTGCCTGCGCTGCCAGTCGGATGACCCTCGAGTCATTTTCGAGAACACGCGCAAAGAAATGTCCTTCCTGCGCGTGCTCATCCAGCACCTGGACACCAGCTTCATGGAGGGCGTGCTATAGCGGGCGGCGGGGGGTGGGGGGGAGGGACGGGAGCACAGGGGAGGGGGGAGGGACATCTCAACCGAGGGTCGCATGCCTGGCCCCTCCATGCCGCCTGCCCGCCGAAGCCCAACATGGACTCAGAACTGAGGTGCCGCCATCCGGAGCCCACCGTTCCCGCCCCGCCCTGCCCCAGGCCCTCGAGCCTCGAGGCTCCCCACGTCTTGTGTGGGTGTGAGGGTGCAGCCTAACCAGGGCAGAGTTCTGGCTGCGTAAAGAAAGCCTCTGGCCCCCACCTCACGGCCAGTTCCTACTGACCAACCCTGCCCCGGGTGCGACCATGGGGCAGCCTGGCGTGTCCACATCGCAGCCCTGAGAAAGTGCCTTCTGTTTCCTGGAGCCGAGCGACACTGCCCTCTCGCGGCCGGCCGGCCGGCCAGCACGGATGCCTCCTAAGGGTGGGCTGCCTCTGCTCCATCTGCCTGGCCTTGCTGGAGCTCCTCTCTCCTCCTCCCCCATCCCACCCCCACCCCCACCCGTGGGCTGCCTCTGCTCCATCTGCCTGGCCTTGCTGGAGCTCCTCTCTCCTCCTCCCCCATCCCACCCCCACCCCCACCCCTGATCTCCTGGCTGCAGCTCTCAGGCCCATCCAGGGAGCTGCCACCCAAATGACCCTTCCTGGTTCAGCCTCCCTCTCTCCCTCACCTGTCTACCTGTTGCCACAAGCGTAGTGACTACGCAGGAGTTCAGGGGCTCCAGGGCACTAGCTGTCCACCACAGAGCAGGGAGGGCCTAGCAGGCCCAGGCCTGGCAGGCACTAAGTTGGGAGGGGGGGGTTAGGAGGCCCCCAAACCAAAGTCCTGGGGCGGGGCGCAGGGCTGGGCAGGCGTTCTTGGGGTGGAGTGGGGAGGGGTGAGAGTATTTTTTTCTTAGTGTAAACTATAAATTCAGAATCTACTCTGCATCCCAGCCCCGCCTGTGTATAGAGATATAGAGTGAAAGACATAAGAACTAAATTTGCTAATGACATAGTTTTAACCCAAATACTATTTATCTCTGAGCCGTCCTCGCCGCCCTCCTTCATTTTCTTCTCCAACATTTGTTGGCTTCTGACCAAAAACCAGCCCTGCCCGCCCCAGCACCCCCTGCCCTTCCGGAGGCCGTAGCTGCTGGAGGGGGCACGCCCAGACTCCCAGTTTGTACATTTTCCATTTTGGAATTTTGAGTTCCAATTGTTGTAAAACTTAATTTCCCCCGGTTTTTATATATATATATTTTTAGAGTTGAGTTTTTATTTATTATTAAAAACAAAAAGCCCAGCCCTGCCAATGCCTGATGTCCCCGGCGGGGCGAGGGCGGCGATGGGGCGATGGGAGTTTGACACGTGGACTCGGAGAGGCGATTACGCTCGGTGTGAATAAACTACGTGTGGACACTGGCCAGCCGTGATCACGTCTCCTGGTCCTTCTGTCGTCGTGGGGCGGTGAGGGGGTGGGCTTGACACAGGTACTACACGGAGCAGATACCCACTCAACACTTCCTGAGGGAAAGGGTCGAGGTGGGCAGAACGAGCCACACCTGTCATCGCCCCGCACCGAGAGGCCACGGGAGGAGGAGGAGGTGAAGGGCCCACTGCGGGCGGGCAGCCGCGCTGGGCAACCGGGGTGTACCAAAGCGTGAGGAACCCAAAGCGCGGGTGGAGGCCGCCGGAGGACGGGTGTTCGCGCTGCGCCAGCCCGTGACCAGCGGCCGTTTCCGGCGTGGGAGCAGGAATGTGGCCTCCGTGCGGGGCGCTCCGAGCCGTGGCCTTGGCGCGGTCGCTGGGGACCCGGCCCTGCAGTGGGGGCGAGAGCGTCTCCTATACGCAGGGCCAGAGTCCCGAGCCCCGAACACGCGAATACTTCTACTACGTGGACCACCAAGGCCAGGTAAGCCGCGAGCTGGACTGGCAGCGAGAGGCCGGTGGTTAGGGAGGCGGGATCTGTAAGTTAAGCCCCGCCCCCCGACTCTGCAGAGTTGGGGCGGGCGGTGTCCTGAAGAGGCTGGAGGGGCTTGGTCTCCCATGTGGGATAGGGTCCCGCCCCGGCGGCTTTGGAAGCTGGTACAGTGCCCCCTTCAGGCACATCAGATTATCCACTCGGAGGAAGAGGCGCGGGGAAGGGGACCTGTGTGTGCGCGGAAGCACAGGAGGGAGAGGTTGGCAGGGCCCACAGACTTTCCACGCACCTCCCTGCACCCGGACACAGGCCCAGCGGGCCTCTCGCCCTGCCCCGCTGGGGTCAGCTTCGGCTGGCCACATGCTGGGACTCGGGAAGCACAGCCTGCCCTCTGTCTGCAGCTTTTCCTGGATGATTCCAAAATGAAGAACTTCATCACCTGTTACAAAGGTACCGCTTCCAACCCCCTTTCCCCCGGGTGGGCTTCCACACAGGGCGGTAGCAAGGAGCTAGGAAGCTAGGAGCCTCGCGGTTCTAAAGTGGGACCAAGATCAGAAAGGTCTGCAGCTGCATGCTTCATCTCTCAGACCCGCAGTTCCTGGTCACTTTCTTCTCCCGCCTGAGACCGAACAGCAGTGGACGCTACGAGGCCTCCTTCCCCTTCCTCTCACTCTGCGGTAGGGAGCGCAACTTCCTCCGCTGTGAGGACCGGCCCGTGGTCTTCACGCACCTGCTGGCGGAAGGCTCCGGGCCTCCGCGCATCTCCTACTGCGGCGGCGGCGAAGCCCTGGCCGTGCCCTTTGAGCCAGCGCGCCTGCTGCCCCTGGCCGCCAATGGGCGCCTTTACCATCCGGCGCCGGAGCGCGTGGGTGGCGTGGGCCTGGTGCGCTCGGCCTTGGCCTTTGAGCTTAGTGCCTGCTTCGAGTACGCGCCCGGCGCACCCGCACTGCCCTCACACATACACTGGCAGGGCCGCCGCCTTGCGCTCACCATGGACCTAGCTCCCTTGCTTCCAGGGGCCCAGCCGCCCTGAGCGCACGCGCCGTCCTAGTGCGCGCCGGGCCGAGCGCGCGTGCGCGGCGGGGTGCACCGCGGGCCCCGCCCGCCCGGCGCTGTCCGAGGTGCTGCCGCGGCTAGGCCGGCGGGCTGCTCTCTGGAACCCGACCGTACGGAAGGTTAGAGTTCCCGGGCCCTCCACTCGCTCCTCACCCCCACACTGCACCTTCTGGAGGCTTCTAGACTGATTTGCACTGGCGACGTCAGGCCCAGGCAGCCTGGGCAGGGGCGGCGGGTCCACACTGCGCGTGCGTTTGCGGGAGTCCCGCCCCTTCCCAGGCCTCTTCTCTGCTGGGCTGGGGTCGCAGCGGGCTCTGCGGGGGAGCCACGCGCCGCCAGAGCGTCAGGTGAGCGGGCGCCGGACCCAAGGTCACCGGGCCGCGCGGGCTGGATTGGGTACAGCTCTGGTCTGTCCCTGGTTCACACCGAGAAGGACCTGCATCCCGGCGGGGGTTGGGAGACAGTAAACCACGCCTTGCGTCGTGGAAGTGGGTGTGGGCAGGGGTGGCCTTGGGGCCCCAAGGGCAGTTCGGAGATGCACAGGAGCCAAACCCCAGATGGAGCCTGGCAGTTCAGCCAAGAGGGACTCATTCAAATGGCAGGTGGTAGTGCTTCTCACCTCTGCCTCCCCACCTGCGAATAGATGGGCACCCAAGATAGTTATAGCCACTCACAGCCAGATTAGGGGGATGTGCTGGGGTAAAGGATTCCTGGGAGGGCCTTCTCCCCGTCCCCAAACTGCCTCCTCATCCCCACCGAGGCTGGCCTTTCTACCTGCGTCCAGGGGTTCCTGTGAGCAGTAGCACCTGAGTTGGACAAGAAGATACTCCATCTCAGGCTTTACGCTGGAGGCTGTGGACAAAGCCTGGAGCCCTGGGCCAGCCTTTATGCTCTGGGAGATGGACACCTGGGAACTGTCTGTCTGGGCTGCAGTGCTTCCATTAAAACTTGCTTAAGTTTCCATACCTCATCTCTAGTTACTTTACATAATTGACTTACTGTTTAGATTAAGATTTCAGGAACACCAAGGCCATACGACCCTTCCCTTATGACATCGTCTGTAGGGAGACCCCTGGACCAGCAGGGTCTGGAGGTGACATCCTCTGTCCTGCTGCCCTGGCCCTCAGAAGAGTTGGACTTCTCAGCTGGACTGGGACTCAGGAGCTAGATCCAGCCCTTCTGTATCTCTCAGGTCACCATTGTAGGAATATGAACTCACAGGAGCCATGTGCACCTATAGTCCTGGAGGGCACTGCCAGTAGAAACCCAACTGGTAACTTAGGGCCCCTCTAGCAGACAGCGCTCCTAGGGGCACCACCTACCCCCACACCCCCAAAGAAGGATCCCCTTTGAGGTGACAGTGTGGGGGGCACAGCTGGGGCCTCACCCTTGGGTTGACAGTCCTATTGCTTTCTTTATTCACCCACCCCCTACCATATTCCCTGAGAGAAAGCCACAACCCTGGCAGGGCAGGTGCTGAACAAAGCTGGGCAGTGAACTTTCCCTTTGGCCAGAGGCTGCTGAGGCCAGTTCTGCCCATGCCCAACCAGGAGGAAAATGGGACTGAAGTCCACGTTAAGTCAGGGTCAGTTAGAGATAGGACACTGGCTCTGGATCTCATGCCTTCCCCATGGGTGATGCCCATGTGGTCAGAGCTTGCATACACTGAGCCTACTCTTTCCCCGTCTGTGCTGGGCAGTAGCCAGAATCACTGTCCAGTTATCACCCACATCAGCCTCCATAGATTCAAAGGACCTAGAGGGTTGCCAAGGGCGTAGGGAGAAAGCGGAGTAGAAATCACCTCAGCACAGGGTAGGGTGGCCCCCCCTACACCCACATACTGGAAGACTGAGGAGACCAGGAGTTCCACCCCCAAAACTGATGTCCCATAATGGTAAGTTGTTTTTATCAATGAAGACTAGAGCATTTTATTTCTTAACCTGGTATCACTTTTGGAAAAGTAGATGCAGGGCGTGAACCTCTCCACCTGCGCTCACCCTTACACCACTTCCCAAATGAAAGGGCCAGGTCTGCTCGATATGTTTCAGGAGCACCCCAACCCGGGCGGCCCACAGGAGGCCGCCCCTCTGTGGTCCACGGCCAGTGCCGCGGGAGATGGCCCCAGGGGCGCTTGCGATGCTGCTGCTGCTGCTCCTGCCACCACTGCCCGGGCTCCCCTCCCGGACTGCTGGCTGTCCGTCTTCCTGTCGCTGCTATAGTGCCACCGTGGAGTGTGGCGCCCTGCGGCTGCGCGCAATCCCGCCCGGAATCCCGCCCGGCACGCAGGTGGGCGCCATGAGGGGTCGCCGCGACTCCGATACGGAAGGGTTCGCGGGTGGCAAAGGCGACCCCACAACGGCGTAAGCATCTCCTCTCCGTCTGCAGACGCTGTTCCTTCAGGACAATAGCATCGCGCGCTTGGAGTCCGGCGCCCTGGCACCGCTCGCCGCCCTGCGCCGTCTCTACTTGCACAACAACAGCCTAGGCGCCCTAGAGTCCGGATCCTTCAGCGCGCAGCCGCGACTGCTTGAACTTGCGCTCAATGGCAACCGGCTGCGCGGCTTACGAGGCAGCGCCTTCTCCGGCCTGTCTCAGCTGCGCGTGCTCTACCTGGCGGGCAACCAGCTGGCTCGATTGTTGGATTTCACCTTCCTACACCTGCCGGTGAGCTAGGCCAAGAGGGGCAGGAGTCCTTCCGTGCTGCTACTGGCCCTGCAGGACTGGAATAGTAAAAGAAGGCAAAGCGAATTCCCGCTTAGTAGGGACCCTGGCCCTAGCGGAAGCTACTATATACAGAAAAGCTGGGGGACACTGGGGCTTACACACACACACACACACACACACACACACACACCCCACCCCCCCGGCCTCACCCTTGATGACCATTGTGTTTCCTTCAGCGCCTGCAGGAGCTGCACCTACAAGAAAACAGCATTGAGCTGCTGGAGGACCAGGCCCTGGCTGGACTCTCCTCACTCGCCCTGCTGGACCTCAGCAGGAACCAACTGGGCACCATCAGCCACCAGGCCCTACAGCCCCTTGCCAGTCTGCAGGTCCTGCGCCTCACAGGTACCCCCTTCTGCCAGCACAGGGGTCTCAGGCAAGGGTCTTTCCTCTGACCCCAAGTTTCAGGGTGCACCTCTAAGTGCTGAGCCACAGAGCAGTAGGCAGCACAGGAAGGGCCACAGAGGCGGAGGGAATGGGAGGACAACACACGGCTCAGGAGTCCCCTGAGCCGGTAGGAGTCTGACAGCCAGCTGAGTGGAGTTGATAGGCTTGCCAACTTTGAGGCCGTGAGAACAGGCAGCAATTTGGAGACACACACACCAGGGCAAGGCAACAGAATTTGACGCTGATGTTCCCTAAAGCAGGACTTGGGTAGGGCAGTGAGACATGCAGGGACCTGGAACTTTCTCACCCACACATTCAAGGATGAGGAGGCTATGGGAGGTGGATGAGTCGCAGCAAAGTCCTTAGCCAGGCCTACCAACTGCAGCCACAACCTCCAATTGCACAGGCTGTGCTGTGGGGCCCCTTCTGAGCCCACCCACCACTGCTCTACCCACAGAGAATCCGTGGCGCTGTGACTGTGCCCTGCATTGGCTGGGCACCTGGATCAAGGAAGCAGGCCAGCGGCTGCTCAGCTCCAGGGACAAGAAGATAGTGTGTGCAGAACCCCCGCGCCTGGCACTTCACAGTCTCCTGGAGGTATCTGGTAGCAGTCTCATCTGCATCCCGCCCTCAGTGCACGTGGAACCGCTAGAGATCACAGCCAATCTGGGAGAGGACCTGCGGGTGGCCTGCCAGGCTTCAGGATACCCGCAACCCCTGGTCACCTGGAGAAAGGTCAGCCAGCCCCGCGAGAGGTCAGAGCAGGCCCAAGCGCACCCCGAAGGCAGAGTGCCAGGCCTGGGTGGGCATGGAGCCCCGGACATGGGCAGTGGCATGCTCTTCCTCACTAACATCACCTTGGCCCATGCTGGCAAGTACGAGTGTGAGGCTTCCAACGCCGGCGGCACTGCCCGAGTGCCCTTCCAGCTCCTGGTCAACCTGTCTCAGCAGCAGCGGTTGCCAGCAGCCCCGTCGCCCCCGTCCGCTGGCCCAGTCAGCCACGAGCCCCTGTACGAGGCGGGCAGCATGGCCTTCCGCGCCCTGGGCCTGGCCACCCAGACTGCCATCGCGGCGGGCATCGCACTGCTAGCACTCACAGCATTGCTGTTGGCAGCCATGATCTGCCGGAAGCGGCGCAAGCGGAAAAAGGCTGCGGGGCCTCCGGGGGAGGGTGTGCTGTTCGTCAATGACTACTCCGACGGGCCCTGCACCTTCGCCCAGCTCGAGGAGCTCCGCGACGAGCAAGGTCACGAGATGTTCGTCATCGACCGCTCCAAGCCCCTCTTCACCGAGGGACCGGCAACAGAGGCGCTGGCGGACCGCGCCCCCTCTGAGGGTGCGGCGTCCAGCCCCGCGCAGGGCCTCCTGTTCCCACCTCCGGTCGCCTTTGAGATTCACTGCTAAGGCCATGGGCGGACAGGATCGTGCTCCAGGGATTGGCCGGCACAACTTTGCGCGTGGTCTGACGTGGTGCGGGTCAGTAAAGGGTGGAAGCTGCGCAGTGTGGGCTGAGCCATGTGTGACCGAGGAACCCCGGCTGGGGGTGGGGGGTGGGGAGTAAGAAAAGCAGTTCCGTCTACCTGATGAGTTTTGTAGCCAGCCAAGTCCAGAAAGTTGGAAATAAGAGGGGTGGCGGGGGCCCTCCAGAAATCACCCTTCCAGCATATGCCCAGCGCATATGCTCTGCAGGAGCCCAAGCATGGTCCCTGCCCATCATGGCTTGTCACCAAGTCACCCCAAGGTGAAGTGACCCCAGCTGTGCAATGCCCAGACAAAGAACAGGCTGGCACAGATTGGGGGTGGGAGGGTGTGTTCAGGGTTCCCGGGGGGACGTGTGCAGACAGAGGCTGGCAGCATTGTCCAATGGCCTGCAAGGGACAGCAGCTGAGAGCAGGACAACTTACTCAACTAATTAGGGTCAAGCAGGCACACAGTGCAGTTCCAAACAGGATGCACATTGCACCTTACCAGCTCTCCACTGCAGGGGTCTAACCACTAAGACCTGCTGAAGTCCTGGGTGTCAGACTCAGGGAGAATATGGACAGGGACAGCCTAGATCCCAGGGGACTGGACCCTTCCCTGGAGGAGGCACCTCTTGCAGAGAGAGGGTGGGAAAGGCCTGGACAGAAAGCCCAGGGTGCTCACAGCTGGGACCAAGCAGTGCTCTGCAGGAGGGCCAATGAGTACAGCCAGAGTGGGGATCAATCAAGGTCAGCGAGTCTGAGGACACATCAGAGCCACACTGCTACAGGCCTGGACACCAAGACAGACCCTGCAGAGGGAAGTAGGTACTTGCCCATCACCTACGGGTGCCTTTGAGTGTGTCCTCAAGACCTGGCAGGTTCCCAGAAAAGGCTCTGCCTACCCCAGGTCTCAGGATGGCCACCTCTACCTGATGCAGGCAGGCACCCCTGTGGTCCACAAGACAGGGGCACGGCCTCAGGCCAAAAGTAGCTAGTGCAGCTTGGACTCCACTTGAGCAAACTTCTCCTCATTGATGGAGGCCCCCAGCAGGAGGGAAGCAGGGCGTGGCCAGGGCAGGCCCACACAGCAGTCCACGGGGAAGGGGTGCACCAAGGTGCGCAGCTCAGCTTGGGTTGCCGAGTCCCGAAGCAGCTCCTTGGGACCTCCGATGGACAGCGGCTTGCCATAGAGGCTGAGGTAGTAGAAGCTAGTACAGCGAGTCAGGGCAGGCAGTGTGGCCAGGAGTTGGGTGTCAGCCTGCCGGCCCTCAGTCAGCTCTAGGTGTAGACTTTCACAAGAAGTCCTGGAAGGGAACCAGCTGGTCGTCAGCCAGCTCACTGCCACCTGACGTGAGAGGCGTGGGGGCTCTGGGTCAGGAAGTGTAGGGCCTCGGGCAAAAGGGCACAGAAGGCCAGCTCCAGGCTCTCCAGGGGACTCTGCAAAGCCTGTGGGGGAGGGGCCAGCTCACCTGAGCAGCTGGTCCAGTTGCCTGGAGAGCAGACTGATGCCCAGAGGGAAAGTGTGCCATCTGGGCCAAGAAGAAGCAGAAGTTGTCTCCACCAACCAGAGGATCGTAGTGAGTCCCCATGAACATGGTGCGACCGCAGGCTGGCCAGGTGCCAGGTGCATCCAAGAGCTACGGCAGGGCCACTATGTTGCGTACGGGCAGCTCTTCAGCCTCACTGCTCCAGAATGCCTCCCGCAGGAAGGAACAGGAGGCCCGATTTACACACAGGTCCACGCAGAACTCCACACGAGCAGGTACTGGCCCAGGCTCCCCAGCGCCTCCCTGCTGCTGCTGGGCAATGCCACAGTGCAGTCCCACGGGCTCATGGTGTCGGGGTCCTGCTCCACACACACTGGGAAGCCTGCAGTCTCGTCAGAAGATCCTCAGCAGTCTGAGAGCTCTCAGGGGCCCTGTACCTGCCGAGGGCCTGCATGGCGGCCTCAGCCTTGGGGCCATGGAGCCTGGCAGTGAACCCCAGGATAACAGCCTGCCTGTTCTCTATGCTGGGTTACTCCTACAGCAGAGGGCAGCTGCAGTGGGCACATGCCAGCTGCAGATGCTGGAAGCTGAGCCATGGGAACGGTCAAGTGTGTACCAGCTCACGTAGCACAGCCGACTTCTTGTCCATGAAGGGCCCCCTTGAGCAGCAGCGGGAAGTGCTCTCAGGGACCTGGCAGGCAGCTGGCTGGTACTGGAGCACCTGCCTTGTGTGCACGGGGAAAGCAGATCCAAGCCACTGCCTGGTCCCAGTCCCCCCATGGTGCCCAGCATGGAGCTAATGCTGAGTGGAAGCTGCTATACAGACCAGCACAGGATGAGGTGGACCAGGAACTGGGGAAAGGCCGTGCCCAGTCTCTGCCCTTCTAAAACACAGGACCTCTAGAAAAAACGAAATAGCCACAAGATGCATAAATCGTACAAGCACCAACCAGCTTGCTGGTGTCATGATTGGCAGATGATTGCTGCTCCTCAGAACCAAACATTCAGATCACTGGGGATCCCAAAACACAGAAGTATTTCTCAGGGGTCTATTCTTCCTCAAGAACACAAAGCTCAGATGTCCCCCTTTGTTAGTTCTAAAAGGGGTGGGTCACCCTCAAGGGCACAGGCTGCCTCCCTCACCCCTCACAGGGGCTCTGACAGGCCACCCTTGGGCCGCCTACTGAGCAGCAGAAAGGGCCTGGGGCCTGGGAGCACAAACACAGTTTAACAAAGTATTAGGCAACAGGAGAATAAAGCGAAGACTGAGCGGACACAGGATCGCGTGTGAGTCCTCAACACCAACTCAGTTATAACCACGGGCATCGCCCTGAAGGACTACAGAAATTTAAAAACCAGAGTCCTTGCTACCTCTGGCCACATCTTTTCCCTGGAGAATCAAATGTTGAGAAACCAGGCCTTAACTCAAATGGGGCAGAGGCAGTTACAGATGTGGCATTTGATCTTAGAAGAAGATGCATACAGAGCGGCAACCGTTAGCAGACTCATGATGCGCCAGGCACCTCGGGCTCAAAACTGGCCAGAAGGCAGAGGGGAAAGTGGGCATCACTGCCGTGTAACTGATTAGAAAGCTACCATGTAGGCCTTGCCCAAGACTGCAGTGCTGGGATACCAGGGGTGGGAATGGTTGGTCCAAGGGCCCCTGCTCCTGCCACCACAAGTACTTACAGCGAAGGTTCCCGAGACTCCCCAGACGTCAGACCTCTTCCAAGAAAGATTCACACCTCACTCCGACTAGAAGAACCGACCTGTCACGAGGGAGACCATAAGCAGCCAGGCTGGAGAGGAGTCTCCAGCGCAATGTCGCCGATCAGCAGGGGGCCGCTCAGTTTCTGGCTCTTGCGTTTCTTGAATCAGACGCCCGCGCCCCCTCCTCCAGGTCTCGAGTCTGAGATACGGGTGGGGGTTGCTGCATCGACGCCTCTCCGCTGAATTCAATGCACTCGCCCGGGTAGAGACGGGGCCCGCAGCCACTCCATTGCATTCACCCAAGTCCGCAATCACCCCGGGGGACCCAGTCCGCTAACAACCAGCGCACGCCCCGCCCCCAGGACGGGGCAAGCCCGAGCGCCCGCGCCCCGTTCTCACACCGAGATAGGTTGGTGAGCGCGGGACAGCCAGCTCCCTTCTCCGCCCTGAGTCCGGCTGACCAAGCCTCACAGCGCCACCGGCAGCCACCACCGTCACCGGCCCCTCTAGGCGGTCCGCGCGCACCTTCTCCCGCCGCGCGCCATGATGACGTAACCACCTCCCATTGGCAGTCCCGCCGGGAACCCAAGGATTGGCTGATGGCTTTCCCCGCCCACTCCGAGCGTCCCCGTTGGCTAATCAGCTCAGCGCCACCGGCTGGAGGTTTGTACGCGGGAATGCAATGGAGCGGCTGCGGGATCTACGCACACGGCTGCAGGCATGGGAGCTCGCGTTCCGGCAGCAGAGCGGGAGGCGACCTTGCCAGGTGCGGGCTGCCCAGGGCGGGGGTGGACAGAGGACGCGGCCCGGGGACTGACACCTTCCCTTCACAGGTGGACGTGGCGGCGGCGCCCGAGGAGACCCAGGGTGAGCGCGGGGTGGGGCTGGTACGGCGCGTTCTGCGAACGCGTTCGGTGCGTTCCTTCCTGACCCCTTCTCCACCCATCCAGCGCTCTACCGGGAATACCGCGCCCTGAAGCAGGACCTGGGCCATCCAGGCGGCATCCGACCCCGCAGCCCCGAACAGTCTGCTCAAGCGGCCACCCAAGAGGTACTAGGGTGGGAAGAGCGCTGAGCGGGGTTTCTGCAGGTCTGAGGAGGGAGTGCGGCCACTTATGTCCTTGGCCTCTCACCATTTCCTGTAGGGACCAAAAGAGCCAAACTGCTGGGGGTCTCACCTGAATCGTGCTGCGACCCAGAGACCACAGCCTACCCCAGCTCCTAAACCCCGAGGGTCAGCGCAGGACTATGGAAGGAGGCTCAAAGCCAAGCTAAAGGGTACCCCGCAGGTGAGCGGCGCAGGCCTAGGGGACCAGCCCCCCACACACAGGCACTGTGGGCCTGTCCTCCAACTTCCTTTCTGTTCCAGCCTTCCTGGGTCCCATAACTGATAGTGGGGGCCCTGAGGCAGCCCCTAAGCTGCTTGCTGTGTGCCTTCCTCCTAGGCGGAGCCAGCGGTGGGCCGAGTACCCCGCATTCCTCGGAAACCCTCAACAGAGGCACCTGCCCAGGGGCTGCCAGACACAGGGGCTGCACCTGCCTCTCCACGACTCAGCCAGCTGCTCCCCCAGCGACCTGGGTTCCAGCCTCAGCTAGGCCGGTTCCAGCAGCTCCAGTCCTCCCTAAGCCGGCGACTGAGCTCTCTAGACCCTGGTTGGCTCCAGCGGTGTCATGGTGGGGACCCAGATTTACGGAAGAATCCTGAGACCTTTGTGCCTGGTCTAGACACAGAATTGTGCGACCTGGGCAAGGGTTCACAGCCTTTGACCTCAGGTGCCGACCTGGGCACCTACCATGGTCCTGAGATTCCAGCGCTACAGGGAAGCAGCCACAGTGAAGGAAGCCCCCAACCCAGCAAGAAGCAAAGACTGAGTGGGGACCTCGAAAGGGTCCTTTCACAGGCCCAGTGGGACAGTGGCCACGTGGGACCCCAGGCTAAGGAGTCGGATGCCACCAAACCTGTGGAAGACCCTCTGCGGACGCAGTCACCTCAGCCCCGAAGTGGCCCCGTGAAACCCAGATACCCAAACCTGGTGGGAAAGGCTGGGCTCACAGCTCCCAATAACATCTCTCCTAGGTCCTCCATCCAGGAAGGGGGCAACTACGTCAAGCTCAACCTGAAGCGAAAACGCTACGTACGAGGCCCAGCGCTGCGGGGCACTTACCTCCGCAAGCAGGTGAGGTAGGGAGTGGACCCGCGTGACCTATTCCTATGCCCCTATGTGTGTAAGCAGGTGAGGCAGGCAGGGTACCTCCCCCACGTGCACCCTCATGAGATGGATGATCTGATGCTCCTACCTCTCCCCACCCCACAATCTTGTGACCCATTCCTGTATCCCAGGTGTGGAAGCAGAAGTGGCAGAAGAAAAAGGCATGTTTTGGGGGTGGCCGGCCCAGAGCCACAGTCAAGAGCTTGTGTTTTCAATGCAGCCGGCCTGGACACTGGGCCTCCCAGTGCCCCCAACTAGGTGGGACCCCCAAGACCGGTCAGACTCGGAGGGGTACTGTATTCTTTACAAGGGAGGGTATTTCTGGTCTACTCAAGAAGCCCTCCCTGCCCCCTACCCTGGTCCAGAGCCCACGCCAACCCAGAAAGAAGGCGGCAGGGATGAGGAGGAAGCGCAGCCCTTGCCCACACTGGGGGACGTGGCCCAGGAGGCGGCTACTGCTCACTGCCAACTCCCCGGTGAGTGGGAGGTGTGGCGGGGAGCAAGGGATCCCTTCCCAGTCGGAGCTCCTACACCATGCCCCGTGCTGTCTGCCCCAGTGGGTGAAGATGATACCAGACCCGCCAAGCCTGAGCTGATGGGACCCTTGGAGCCCCACCCACCTCCCACCGTGCCCCCACTCTACCCTCCAGGACCCTTGGGGCAGGTGGCAGGTAAGCAGAAGCTGCTACCTAGAGCCTTCAGTAGGGGACCCCATCTGGGCACTGCCATGACCTGGTGGCCGTCTGTGTCCCCAGAGACCCCCCCTGAGGTGTTCCAGGCCCTGAGACAGCTGGGGTACCGAGCCTTCCGTCCTGGGCAGGAGCAGGCAGTCATGCGGGTCTTGTCAGGTGAGGAGGGAGGGCCAGGGTTGGCCAGGGCCTGGGGGCTTTGGGGCAGAGGCTCCTGCTGATGCCCAGTCTCAGGCATCTCCACCCTGTTGGTGCTGCCCACGGGCACCGGGAAGTCCTTGTGCTACCAGCTCCCGGCACTGCTCTTCGCCCGACGCAGCCCCTGCCTCACCATAGTTGTCTCCCCACTGCTGGCGCTCATGGACGACCAGGTGTGTCACCTGAAACAGATGAGGTGGGTGGGACCTGCCCGCGGCTTTCTCAGTTCGAGGACCCAGTGTGAGCCAGCCATGATGGGTGGGCTCCTGCTTCCAGGTGTCTGGCCTGCCTCCAGGTGTGAAGGCCGCCTGCCTCCATTCAGGCATGAACAAAAAGCAGCGGGAAAGCGTCCTGCAAAAGGTGAGGGGCCTGGTCCCAGGAGAGGGCGGGCGTCCAGGTTCTATCCCCATCCCGTCATGGTCTTGCCTCTCTAGGTCCGGGCAGCCCAGGTCCATGTGCTGGTGCTGTCACCTGAGGCACTGGTGAGGACAGGGATGGGGGGACCTGCTTGCCTGCCTCCAGCCTCTCAGCTGCCACCTATAGCCTTTGCCTGCATTGATGAGGCCCACTGCCTCTCGCAGTGGTCCCACAACTTCCGGCCCTGCTACCTGCGTGTCTGCAAGGTAAGGGTGCCTGCCTGGGGGAGAAAGGCAGGCGGGGATGGGATTGGCAGACGGCACCCTCACCCCTCTGCTTGGCAGGTGTTACGGGAACACATGGGTGTGCGCTGCTTCCTGGGCCTCACAGCCACTGCCCCACGCAGTACTGCCCTTGATGTGGCCCAGCTCCTAGGTGTGGCCGAAGGGCCAGGCTCCCGTGGACTCCTAGCCACCATCCCCCCCAACCTGCACCTCTCTGTATCCAAGGACAGAGACCCCGAGCAGGTAGGAGTGTGGTACCCGGGGTGCCCCCTAGCCCCATTGGCCCCAGCCCCCACTGACAACCCTCCCCCAGGCCCTGGTGACGCTGCTCCAGGGGGACCGGTTCCGCACACTGGACTCCATCATCATCTACTGCAACAGGCGTGAGGACACGGAGCGCATCTCTTCTCTCCTCCGCACCTGCCTTCGTGAGTCCTGGGTGGGGCTCAGGTTCACGCCTGGCCCCTGACGCCAACCTTGGCTCACCAGCTGTCTATACCCACAGGCGGCACCCCAGAGGCTGTGGCAGAAGCGTATCATGCCGGCATGTGCAGTCGGGAGCGGCGGCGTGTGCAGCGGGCCTTCATGCAGGGCCAGCTACGGGTGGTGGTAGCCACGGTGGCCTTCGGCATGGGACTGGACCGGCCAGATGTGCGGGCTGTGCTGCACCTGGGGCTGCCCTCCAGCTTTGAGAGTTACGTGCAGGCTGTGGGCCGAGCGGGACGGGACGGGCAGCCTGCCCACTGCCACCTCTTCCTGCAGCCCCAGGTGGGTCTCTGTGCCTCACGCTCCCCGGCTCTGGACTCTCCTGGTAGCCTCCACTTACACTGCTCTGCACAGGGGGAGGACCTGCAGGAACTGCGGAGACATGTACACGCTGACTCCGTGGATTACCTTGCTGTGAAGAGGCTGGTGCAGCTCGTGTTCCCCCCCTGCTCCTGTGCCCAGCTGTCCTCAGAGGGCGGTGACAGTGGACAGGTGGTCAAGGTCCCCACAGAAGCCAGGCAGCGGGACAGCCAGGACACAGACCCTGGGCCGAGGAGGACGTGCCCAGGCCATACCCGGGCCCTCCCGATAGAGCCAACAGAGCAGGCCCTGGACATGCCCCAGGAGGGTGAGGACCCAGGCTGGGCGGGAGAGGGCTGCGCTGTGGCCACGCGGCCCCTGACCCCGCTCTGTCCCCAGCCATCGAGACCCTGCTGTGCTACCTGGAGCTGCACCCACAGCACTGGCTGGAGCTGTTGCCGCCCACGTACGCCCAGTGCCGCGTCCGCTGCCCCAGGGGCCCTGCTCAGCTCAGAGCCCTGGCCCTCAGGTGAACACACACTTTGCTTGGGGTGGGCAGGGGGGCAGGGGCCAAGGTCTCATGTTCTTTGCTACCCTGAGCACAGGTGTCCCCCCTTGGCTGTGTGCCTGAGCCGGCAGTTACCCCAGGATACAGACAGCAACGGTAGCAGCTGCTCCCTGGAGTTTGACGTGGTCGAGCTTACAGATTCCATGGGCTGGGAGCTGACGCCCGTACGGCGGGCTCTACACCAGCTGCAGTGGGACCGGGGGCCTGGGGCTGGGGAGCCTCAGAGCACAGGTGTGCGCGTGGAGTTCGGGGAGCTGGCCTTCCACCTGCGCTGCCCCAGAGACTTGACTACTGAAGAAAAGGACCAGCTCTGTGAATTTCTTCATGGCCGCATACAGACACGAGAGCGGGAGGCCCTGGTCCGCCTGCGCCGCACCTTTCAGACCTTCCACAGGTAGTGGGGGTAGGGCCTAGCCACCATCCTTGTCCCTGGTCCTCAGCCAGGCCAGGTGCTGACAACCGCCTCCCCTCCCCGCCAAGTGTGGCCTTCCCCAGCTGCGGGCCCTGCCTAGAACAGCATGATGAGGAACGCAGTGCCCGGCTCAAGGGCCTTTTGGGGCGCTACTTTGAGGAGGAGGAGAGGCTGGGACCGGAGAGTGGAGAAGACACTGAGGCCCCAGAGCCAGGCCAGGCCCAAGTGAGTGCTGGCCAAGTCCTGGGGAGGACAGTGACACACACCCACACTCTGCTGGCCTCTGCCCAGCCCCTTGGTGGGTCCCCTGTACCCACCCCAACAAGTAAACCCCAGGCGGTCCTGACCACATGAGAGTGTGGTACTAAAAAGTTAAGGACGCTTCTTACCCAACCCCCACCCCAGCTCCAGGGCTGGGAGGACCAGATCCGCAGAGACATCCGACAACTCCTGTCATTGAGGCCAGAAGAGAAATTCTCAGGCAGGGCTGTGGCCCGGATCTTTCATGGCATTGGTAAGGGTTAGGGACCTGACTGGGCCTGGCAGGGATGGGGGAGAGAATCAGCCTCCAGCCCTCACAACCTCTCTCTGCCCTCCCAATTGCAGGAAGTCCCTGCTATCCAGCCCAGGTGTTCGGGCGGGACCGACGCTTCTGGAGGAAGTACCTACACGTGAGCTTCCATGCCCTGATGCGCCTGGCCAGGGAGGAGCTGCTGTTGTGGGCCCGCTGACCTGACCATCTGGGAAGAGCTCACCAGCTTGGGGGTGGGGAAGCAAGTGCAGAATAAATGGCATTCCGAGGTCTTCTTGGGCCCTCCTTTCCAGCAACAGCTTCCTACACCACACAAGACACAGCCAGACCCCGGCACACTCAGCTTTATTGGCTATCGGGTCAGGGAAGGGGGCGCCAGGCCCAGGTAGAGAGCGGGCACAGCCGAAAGAGCCAGGAACAGTGAGAAGCAAGGCCGAAGCCCCAGGCCATCGGCCAGCGCGCCAGCCAGTGTGCTCAGCAAGAGTTTCCCGAGTAGCTCCAGAGTGGCCAGGAGACTGTAGTGTGTAGCCTGGGGGGAAGGGAGGGAAGGAGGATCAGAGCCTCGGGGGTACCCAGACTACAGCCCCTGATCCACCACTCACCTCACCTGCAAGGCACCAGGTGCAAGCTGGCTACAGCGCATCATCAGGGTGAAAGTGATGGTAGTGACCAGGCCGCCCAGGAAGTGCTGCAGACACAGGTTCAGCAAGGCCACCCCTGTGAGGGACGGTGGTCAGTGAGGCATAGGGTCTTGAGTGCCCTCCTCCAGCCCCCACCACTGGCCCTCACCTTTCAGGACCGGGCTAGGACCCACACCAGTCCCCAGGGTGTCCAGCCGGAAGAGCAGGGCAGTCTGGCAGGCGAGACTTCCCAAACGGAGCTTGATTACTGGCCTCAGGAGGGGCAGCGGCTGCCTGGGGGGCGGGGAGGGTGGGATTTGGCCAGTCAGTGGGTGCAGAGTGGAGGGGGTTCTGCAGATCAATGGGTGCAGGTAACAGGGGACTCACCGATGTCTGACCAGCAAGGCCCCACCCAGTGAGGAGCCAGCGATGGAGCAGAGCACAGCCCCCACGCCATTCCACAGCCCCAGCTCCTGGGCAGAGGTGCCACGGTCCAACAACAGAAGTGGAAACAGGCTTCCAGCACCCTGCTCACCTGGGGGGAGAGGGTGACGAATGCAAGCCCAAGCCCGCTTCCCCTCATCTCCGCCTGGGGCACCAGCTTCCTGCTTCTGTCCCTCTCCTGGGCCCAGGCACCAAGTCCATCAGGAAGTAGCTCCAGGAGAAAACAGGGCTTCAGACTTCATGCCTAGAGTCAGCACTAAGCAACCCCAGTGGACCTGAGGCCGTGCAGAAAGCTAATGGAGAAGGGATGGGCCCAGATGCAGAGCAGCATGCTCAGTTCACAGGTGTACCTCCCAACTGGCTGGGGGTGAGCCCCCCAAGTGGACAGCAGGGGAACCACACGAGCTGTCTGTAAGCCCCAGATCTGTGTTACTTAGCTGACCGCTTTACTCACCTAACTTGTAGGTGAGCACGAAGCCAGCCAGCCATAGTGTCCCAGGCACGGCCAACACGGCCTGCAGTTGATGCTGAGGCCGTGGGGGCGTTGCTGAAGGCTGGGGTGGTGACAGGTGCTGCAGGGCCGGTGTCGCCCAGGCCAGAGCAGCAGCCAGCAGATAGACGGCAGCCAGGAGAAGGAAGAGCAGGGGCCAGGAGAGAGTGGGCACCAGGGCCAGCAGCCCACCCCCCGCCAGTGCTGCTCCCAGTTTGTAGGCAACCACCTGCACTGTGTTCCCCGGGCCCAGCTCAGAGGGCTCCAGGAGTTGTACAGCAAGTGTGTCCAGAGCCACGTCCTGCACTGCTGCTCCCAGATTCAGCAAGAGGAGCAGTCCTGCTGCAGTGGTGGACAGCCCAACCTGGCTGCCCTCAGCTGGAGGAAACACTGCCAGCAACCCACACAGTACGCCCAGTGCAGCCGTGCTGAGCGTCAACCAAACCCGTGGGGAACCTCTCGTGTCCACTAGTGGGGCCCACACCAGCTTGAACAGCCATGGTGCATACAGTCCCTTGGCCAGCCCGACACGAGTCAAGGAGAGGCCACCGGCCCGCAGCAGCATGGGCAGCAGACCAGATTGCAGCCCGTACGGCAGGCCCTGTACCAGGTAGAGGCCGGCCATCGGCAGGAGCTTTCTGCGCATGGTTGGGGCCAGCAGGGGACCCTGGAGGTCCAGCTAGGTCCAAGGAGTCAGCCTTGGGAATGAGGCCAGAGGTCACAGCCAAGGTGAGAGCAAATCAGGTTCCAGGTATAGCCAGGTCAGTATAGGGTCAGAGGTCACACTTCGGCATGGATTTGGGATTGGGTCAGAGTTGGACAGGTGGAGTCGGGACACAGGCCCCGGGGCCTGGGGGTGTCAATAGCCCAGAAGAACTGGAACCGTGTCCAAATTGAAGAGAAGTCTATCCTCCCAGGAGTGGGTGCTCCCGACACAAACGGGGCTTCCGGAAAGGACGACCCGAGCCTCCCGGCATGCTTCGCGTGAATGCAGGGGGACGTCTCCAGGGGCAGGGGATCGCAGGTTCCACCAGCTTCCCTTTCACGCCGCGTCCGGCATCGCTCGCCCTGCCCGGGTCCGGCCTCTCAGACCTTCATGGTTCTGCAGCCAGAGAAGCACTGGGCGGACCGCCCAGGAATAAGGCGCCGGAAACCCGCCCGGTAACGTCGAGAATTGCGCCGCTGCCATAGAGAGCCAGAGAACGGCTAGAGCGTCGGATCACCCGCCCTCTGGTGCCTCCGGTGGTAAACCTGGGTAAGGGTGCCAGGCCGAGCTCCCGGGATCCCTGTCACATACAGGGAAATTTCAGAGGAACCGAAGCTAGAAAGCAGCCTGTACCTGAGCCCATTCTCTCCTCACAGTGGTCGCCAGCCCAGGTCCCTACCAAGCTGGTGTCATTCCAACCTGGGACTTGGCTGCTGCAAGGCCCAGGCCCAGGCCCCAATCCCTCCTAGAACCCCCTCTTTACAATGCCATAGTATTCTTGGATACTTTGGCACCAGCCCAGAGCCAGTGGCTGCAGAGGGTCTCAGAAGGCCGACCTAGGACCATGGGTCAGCCAGGACACAGTGGGATGCTGCCCTCAACATCCGCCAGTGACAGGTGTGTGAGTTCCTGAAGTTGGCCCACCCCTGGGCAAGTGAGGCAGTGTATCTGCTGTTGAAGCCCCTTGAACTAGTCTCGTTACTGGCAGTATATTCTTGGGGCTCATTTCCTCATTTACAAAGTGGACATTACCAGCCCAAGCTCAAAGGCACCATTTGTGCAAATGAAACCTTTTCTCCATGCCCCCTCACTCCCGAGCTCACTCAAGTCCCGACCCCTTGCTGCACTCCCTGTCTCCTAGTCCTTCTCATCAGAGGGCTGCGTTTCCACCTGGTTGTCATACAAACATGCCCCATATACTTCTAACCCAAATCCTGACTTATTCCTCCTCCCCATGGTCCCTCAGAACCCCCCACAAGCATCAGTCCAGTGAAGAGAAAAACCAAGCATTCACTCTTGGGCACTCACTGTCACTCCCTACACCCCAAGGTGACCCTGTCCGGCCAGTTTCTTAGGATTTAACATTTCCCCTGTCCTGCTAGACTAGAAGTGGACAGTGCAGGGGTGGGACCCTGTCATCTTCAGGAAAGGTCACCTTTCCTGATGTGACTACCCTAAGCCCTCAGATCCGGCTCCTACTACTCATTAGCCACATCCCCTTCCCTCACAGTCTGGAGTCTCCCCATAAGGTGCCTGCCTTCATAGCTTTATTCTTATTAGAACAGCATCTGTGCGTGCCACAACCATGAGAAAACCTCACTCAGGGACTTCGGCAGGAGAACAGACCCGAGGGAGCTCTCTTGATTCCTCCTCCCAACAGAACTGAGACAAGGAGAAACTGGGCCCGGAAATTAGGATTAAGCCTGAGCCTCTCAATGACTGAAATCCAGTGATGGAAATCCTGAGGAATGTTGAAGCCTGCTCCTCTCCTTGCTTGAGCAATATAATGATGTAGGACATGCCCAGGACCCTAGCTGAGCAACCACACAACCTGGGACATGCCATTAAGGAAGATCACCCATAAAAATGTGTATTTTGACTTCCTTGAGAGGTATTTTACAGGTGGAATGGTTTGAGTACTAACCTAGGCATAATTTTAAAGGGTGTCCCTACTGGGGCAAAGAAAAATGCTAGCCCCTGAGAGGGATCTGAACTAGAATCCCAAGAGGCCGCATGCTTAACATCCCACAGAGTTCTGTGGGCTATGTCCAGGGCTTTTGCAGTTAGAATCAGTTTTGAAGAAATGCTGGTGGTGGTGGTGTTACATACCGTGGAGTCGGTTCTGACTCATGGCGACCCTGCATAGGCTTTGCGAGGCTGTACATGCACCCAATTGGATTTCTGGGAAAGCCCCGCCTACCTCTATGAATAAACATAATGTCTTTTCCCTACCCAAGCCTTTGTTTGGAGAAGGGGGTTGGCTTACACTTGCATTAAATCTTCCCAGTCTCCTCCACTTGCTAGCCTTTTTCCTATAGTAACCTTTGCTCTGGTGGAAGCACTGCTGTCACCTGACTATTCTTAATTATTAGAAGGCAAGACCCCTCTCTCGAAGGGAGGAGAAGCCGTTAGCACTCCGGCGGGCAGGCGGGCGGGCGGATCCCAGGCCTTTGCAGAACTCAGCACACACACAGACTTCGGAAGCCCGGAGGGAGTCAGGCTATCTCCCAGCTTTATTAGGGGCCTGCAGAGCGGTAGGGGTCCAGCCCCCAGGCAGCACGGCCCAGCATGGCCTACAAGGCCCCCCAATGGCCTCAGGAGTACTCGCGGGTGAATTTGGCATGGAACTGGCTCAGCTTCTCCAGCAGGGGCCTCAACTTCTCCATGGGAGGCAGAATGGTCATCCTACAAAACCAGGACTGATAAGCAATAGGGCACGGGATTCGGGGAGGGGCTATCCATGCCGGGCCTCACCGAAAGTGGTAGGTGCCTTCCCGCTGCCCGAATCCGCTTCCAGGCACCACGCAGATGCCGGTCTCCTCCAGCAAGCGCATGCAGAAGAACATGTCCGGGGCCACACCCAGCTCCTGGAAAAAAAACGGACCGGTAAGGGCGGGCAGGCGGACCAAGGCCCGCCCACTACCCCCTAGAGCGGGTACCAAGCCCCGCCTACACGCCCTAGCTCCGCCTAACCTGCGCGCGCTGCACGGCGCGCGGCGGCAGCTCCATGCGAGGAAAGGAGTACATGGCGCCCTGCACCGGGTTACAGCGGATGCCCGGAGCCTCGTTGAAGACCTGCTCTGTGAGCTTTGCCTTGGCCGCCAGTTCCGCCAGCACCGCCTGCTTCTCCTGTGGCCATGCCAGAAGAGGGCTAGTGCCCGTGGGTGGAAAGGCCCCGCCCCTATTCCCGCCCTGACCCCCTCACTCGATCAGCTCCAGGGCCGGCTAGTTGCCCCACTCTCCAAGCCCCAGTCCTCGCCCCGCACCCGCTTCAGGTCCTCAGGCTCCGCCCTCTCCCACCCCTCGCCTCACCGTGCCGGTGCTCACCCCCATCCCCCTGTACCGGCTCTACTCGGCCTCAGTGGCTGAGCTTGTCGCGGGGCAAGTTCCCCCGCCCCCGCCATCTCCTCGCCCCCCAAAACGAAAAGCAGTCTGACTCACAAAACAGAGTGAAGTTGCCCCCATAGAGTTTACAAGGCTGTACATTTTTTGGGAAGCCAACTGCCTCACCTTTCTTCTGCAGAACAGCCTGGAACTGCTGAGCTTTTGGGTTGCAGTCAAGCGCTTGAACACTGTAGCACTAGGGCTCCTCTCTCCGCCCCAGGCCCCGCTGTCCCCTACGCCCGCCCCATCCCTCCTCCTTCGTTCTCCCCTCCCTTTCCCACCTCCCCCGCCCTGCTCCCGCTCACTGCCTGGAACTGCGCAGAGGAGGGGTCGGAAGGCTCGGGCGGGCTGACCACCACGTCAAGCAGGGCTTGGCCAGACACAGGCGGGCACAGCCGAACGCTCATCAGCTTCAGCATCTGTTTCTGCACCTCGGGGTCCAGATTCACTACTTCCACATAGCCACCGCGGAACCCACACCTGCCACGGTGAGATGGACGTCGGGGGCAGGCCCGGGAGAAGGGGCTGACCTGGTGGAGCCCTCGAGCCCCTGCCCCACACGCACTCGCCCATGTAGCCCTTGGAGGTGGAGTGGAAGGAGGCGAGTTCCTGCTGTGTTGCGTACGGCGGCCCCATCTCCGTGAGCACCTTCTTGAACGAGTGGAACTGCGAACCCTCGGCGTACACGTTGTCCTGGTACACCTGGGGGACAGACGGACGCACGGTCACAGTCACGGCGGAGATGCGCACCCACCCACCCCCACCTCCCTGCTTCCCGGTCCCCGTGGATACCTCATCAGCCAACAGGAACAAGCGCTCCTCAAAGGCGAAGCGGATCACGGCTTCGATGCACTCTCGAGTCTGCACCTGCCCTGGGGACGCGGGGTCGCCACAGGACTTTGTCAGCCGAGGGCAAGCCAGGCCTCCAGGTAGGGGTGTGGGCAGCGGGGCGGGGCGGGGCCGGGCGGGCTCATGGAGGCGGGGCGGGGCAGCGCACCGGTGGGGTTACCCGGGTTGATGACACAGAGCGCGCGAGGGCGGCATCGGTCACGCGCCTGGTGCAGCGCGCGCCGCAGCTCGCCCACGTCGAGCGCCCAGGCGCGCTCCTCGTCCAGGTAGTAGTTGACTTGCACCGCGTCGAGCTCGGCCACCGTGGCCGAGTAGAGCGGGTACTGGGGGATGGGGATGAGCACACCCGTGCGGGTACGGCCCTCGCCGGCCACCAGCAACTTCAGCACCGTCTGCGGCGGTACGGGAGCGGCGAGGTTGGCAGGGGTAGGGTCTTGGCGCTGCCCCGGGGGCGACTGACCTCTCGTCTCAAAAAGGGGCACTGTCTGCCCTCCTGCCCTGACCCCGGCCTACCACGATGGCGTCACTGGCTCCCGTGGACAGAAAGATGTTGTTGGGGTCTGAGGGGATGCCTCCGTCGCGCCGCTCAATATACCGCGCCACGTCCTCTCGAATCATGGGAATGCCAGAGCTGATGGTGTAGGCCCCTAGGGCCAGAGAAGGCAGGACAAAGGGAAAGATCAAATGAGGGGAGGCTACAGCCCTCCCGCTGGGATCCGCCCCTCTAGTGGACGGGTCCACCTTGCCCCTGGGACTGCCTCTGTCCAGCTCATGCCCTCCCTGGGGCCTGGGGTATCTAGTCACCGGGGGCATTTACCCAGGCTGTGGCCCCCGCAGGCCTGCAAAATGCGCTTTGCCCTTCTCTTGGCATCCTCTGGGAAATGGGGGCTGCTCAGAAGTTCAGGGTCGACACACAGGGCCAGGACCTGAGAGGACCAAGTGTAAGTCAGAAAACTTGGGCCAAGCAGGAGATGTTCCAGGGCCGTGGGAGCCTCACCTGGCGCATGAAAGTGATTGGTTTCTGCCCCATGGCCTGTGCGTCCCCAATGTTGGCTCGGATCACCTCAGTGAAGGGTTTCTTCATACCCTAGGTGGAGAGCAGTAGGACTCAGCCCTACCCACCTGTGGTCTCATCTGCTGTCCGGCTGGGTGTGACCTAGAGGGCAGCCGTGGGCTCCGAGCCATACCTGGCGCAGTTCCTGTTCCAGCTCCAAGGCACGAACCACGATTGGGCCACGGACTGCGTACTCTACCCTGCGCACACACTGGTTCATGGTGTCCAGCGTCAGTACCTTCTCCGTCAGCCCGTTCATTGCAGCTTGACCCTGGTCACCTGTCCTCACGGCCATGACCCTACTCAGGCAAGGTGGAAGGGCAGCTCAGGGGGCGGCCTTGAGACCCAGAATGGCTGGGGGTGGGGACGGAGAAGGAGGACCTGGCTAGAGAGGATGGAGTGAGAGGACACCGTCTTTTGCTGCAGCCTGCTGGCTGGAAAAGAGGGAAAGGGCTGAGGAAGGCACTGGCCCGCTTGGCCCCGCCCCACCCGCCTGGGCACAATTCTGCTCCAAGGAGCCTGAGGGAGTGGGTGAGGAGGCAGGCGGGGCTTGGGGTGAGGCAGAGTGCCCGCCCATGTCCGGGTTGCAGGGGAGCCAGAGACCCACAGTAGGGGGTAGGGATAGAAGGACAGCTCTGAGAAGGTGGTGGTGGGGAGAGTGAAAGGTGGACTGAATGTCAGGGGAGAGGGAGGTAGCCTGGACAGGAGGGGCCTGAGGGCCTGGCAAAGCTGGGCAGAGGTCAAAGGCTATGCAACCACAGTGGTGGAAGGGGCCTAGGGCCCCTTGGGGTTTACCCCAGCAGGGATCTGCTGAGGCCTAGCCCTTTTGGGCCGCCCCCATCTTGGCTGGAGCCTGCAGACCTGTCTCCTAGGTAACTGAGCCAGACCTCAGGAATCCTGGGGGGCATTGAGGGAGGGGAGTGAACTGATCAGACACTAAATTCTATCCACCCCTCCTAGGTTGGCTGCTGCTGCCTGGAGGCTCCAAGAACCCTGGGGTTGGACCTTGGTTCCTGATCAGTGGTTGGGAGGGAGGGTTGGGAACAAGGAAGAACAGACTAGGTCTTCCTGATGTTTCAGCTGCCCTTTTACCACCAACCAGCCTGGGGCTGCCCTTGAGACCACACTCAGGGCTCCTTCCTCAACTGCTTCTGATTGGTGGGTAGAGCAGGAAGGAGCTGGGATAGGCCCTGAGGGCCCCACCTCCACAGACTGGCCCCGAGTTGGTAGGCCATGCCCAGGGGTACTACTCTCCAGACAGCAGCCAGCTGGCTGGAGTTTGGGCTGAGGGCCAGAGAGCCGACCCTCTGAGCTGGGCCCTGGGTGGCTGTTTGGACTAGAGGGGGAGGCTTGGCTGCTGCCGAGCCTGCTAGTGCCGCTGGCTGGGGAGTCTCTCACCTCAGAAGTTCTCAGCTCCACTGCACTGTGGCCTCCTCGTCAGCAGACTTCCCCTCTGCCCCCAGTCGGAGCACAGGTTAATATGGGCCCAACCCAGGCGGGGCCAGCCCCCTCCCGCCTCCTGGCAGCAGGGTCCAAGCAGCCACCCAGGCAGCAGGTGGACCTTTGGCAGCTGCACTGGCCCACACTAAATTTACCCTGGGCCTGTCCCCTCCCCTTCCCAAGTCCTGTGAGGGTACCCCTCCAATCAGATGTCCTGGGAAGGCCAAGCCCCAGAAACACTGGGTTGGCCCGGTGGGTACCAAGCCCACCACACCTAGCACAGGTGATCTCAGGCAAATGGACAGGGAGCACCCTTTTTCACCCCATTCCAGGCCCCTAAGGGTCCCCTCACCCTGACACAGTGCCTGGTCAGCTTGGAGCTGGAGTGGCCAACTGCTTGTCCCCTCTGCCAGCTCAGGCGGAAGCTGGCAGCAAGCTCCTGGGTCAGGCTGCATGCCAGGGACTTGGGACCCCTCCCCCCAGGGAGGTTTCTGATGCCAGCTTTGTACCCGCCTCGCCCCTCTGGCTCTGGTCCAGCAGCCCAGAGGAAAACAGTCCCCTCCCTTTCCAGGCCAGAATCCCTGGCCCTCCAGCATGGACACCCCCAGCCCCAGCTCCCAAAGAGAGCCCCCCTCCACAGCGCCCTGCTCCTGTGGGAAAACTAAGCATTAGTCAGTGCCAGACTTCTTGCTCGTGGTTGTGGCCTCCTCCCCACAGAGGCAGCAGCGCGCACCTACAGGCCCCAAACGAGTGTGTGCAAGGGTGGGGTGGGGCAGGAAGGCACCCAGGGCCCAGCAACAGAACCTGCTCCCCCAGTGGATACGGTGGCCGAGTGACGACAAAAGCACAGTGGCAGGCGGTCTTTCTTTATCAACAGTCACAGACAGAAGGGTCTCTACAGCCCAGCCCCACCCTGATACGGCTTCTGCCCCATAGGGCGCGTCCCTAGGAAGAGGCATCCTAGGCCATGCGGGCCGCCTGCCCACAGCACCAGTGCACACGGGCTGGGCCTCTAGGGGGAAGCCTGCAGCGGGACCCTCTCTGGCTGCCGGAGCCCCCCGACCCCTCACATGAGCAGACAGCAAGGCTTCTTCTCCCCAGAGGCCTCCTCCAAGGGAGCTGTCAGCTTGAGGAGGGGTGGGTCCCCGCTAGCCATGGCGCAGCGTTCAGCGGACTGTGAGATCTGGGTGTCCACAAGCATGCCAGAATCGGGGGCATCAGGGCCCTCTGGTGGGGAGCGCTGTAGTTTGGCAGCGGCTCTCTGCCGCTTCAGCTCTGCCAGGGTGTGGTGGGCCTTGTCCCGCCCGAGAGCTTCGGACGTGGAGCTGTCCAAAGGGTTCAACTGATAGGAGACACTGCGGTCCAACCGCTTGGAGTAGAGGCGCGGCCCCAGGGGGCTCCCCACTCGGCCATTGTGTGGGCGGATAGTCTCAGGGTCCTCCTGTGGTTGGAGACAGGCTCGTCATCAGGGGGCGCCCCTCCAATCCCCGGACTTGGAAACAAAGCAGAGCAGTAGTGGAGGTACAAAACTGAACAGGGGCGCTAACCTGTCCCCACGGGAGAACTGAGGCACAGACCACCAGGGCACACAGCCATGACAGGAGGCGCTCACACCCAGCCAGGTCCACCTTTGGCTGGCTAGGCGTCCTGGGGGCGGGACTCCAGGGGGCGGGGCAGCACTCACCTCTGCAGGAGGCAGTGGCTGGAGCTCCGCATCTGTTTGGCGGTCTTCATCCTCCTCTGGGGGCTCTGGGCTAGTGGGCGGAGGCTGCTGCCGCCACACTATGGCCTCCTGAACGTGCTCCTTGCGGTATAGGCTGGAACGCTGGGTCAGGCTGGCCCGCCTCACCACCTTCCTGGGGAGGGGAGGAGGGAGGGGAGAGAGTGGGGAGGCCGCCCACCCTGCCCTGAGGACTCTGCCCCGAGCTCCAAGCTCCAGCTGGCACGTCCACACATGGACCGACGTCACTAGGACATCCCTGCGTCAGGGCAAAGGACAGGTGGATACCAGCTGGCAGGGTGCCGCGGAGAGGCTAGGTCAGAGTGCTCACCCGCGGCTCCCAGCACTGGAGGTCCGGCGGCGTAGCAGGGAGCGCTGGCGGCCCTGGGCCCGCAGGAGGGCGTCCCGCTTGTGCTTCAGCTCCAGCAACTTGGCCCGCACCTCCTCGTCCCCGCACAAGTCTGGAGGGGAAGGGAGCGTCACCGGTGGCCATCCCGCGCTCTCCTTGCCTTGGTCCAGAGGCAGGACAGCCACAGGTCTCACCAAGAGGGGTCTCGTCCATCAGAGATTTCCCATTCAGGTCGGCCCCATGTGCCACGAGCAGCTCCACCAGGTGCACCTGCAGGCCAGCAGGTGGGGTGCATGCTGAGGCTGCCCACACGTGGGCTGCCCCTTCCCTGCGCCCCTGGCGGCGTCGGCGTCCCCACCTGACCCCAGTAGGCCGCCGCATGCAGCGGTTCCCAGCCGTCATGGTCTTTGGCGCTCAGGCTGGCCCGGTGCTCCAACAGCAATGCGGCGGCCTCACCAAACCCGTTGGCAGAAGCGATGTGTAGCTGCAGGCAAGGGCCAGTCCTGAGTGGGGTGGGGAGCCAAGAGGAAGTGCCTCCAGGGCTCCCCAAACCCTACTGGCTCCGCCCCCCCCAGGCCCCGCCCTCACCAGCGTGGCCCCATGGTCCCCGGCAGCATCAAGGTCAGCCCCCAGGAGTAGCAAGCTCTGAATGTCCTCCAGCATCCGCAGCTCTGGCACGGCTCGGGCGCTCTCGATGCTATCCTGGGTAATGCCTGCGGGAAGGCACACTCAGCGCTTGTCCCCCAGGGCTTCCCCACCCTCACCCCTGGGTTGGGTGCTGTCACTCACCGTGGTCAGCCATGGCTGTCTCGAGGCAGTCCAGCGTCTGCTCATCCTCACACAAGTCATAGGGCATATTCCCATCAGTGTTGACCGCCAGGAGGTCCGCACCACTGAAGGGAGGAGAGCAGGGGTCGGGGGAGGTTCCTTTCTGAGCCCAGCCCTACAAGGACGACACCACCAGTGGCTATTCCCAGGTACCCACGTTCCTGGCCTGTGCCTGCCCCTCTCTGACTGTCCTGGATTGTGCAGTGTGGGTGCCCAGACAGTGACAGTGTATGGGGTAGCCTGGGAGACCCAGAGAGCAGAGGACAGGGAGGGAGATGCAGATCCCTGCCCAGGGTAAGGGGCACCCAGAACATCTGTGGCCTGTGTGTGAAGGGAACCCACACTTGCCCCTCCCATGACTACCTGGGTGGCCAGAGTGTCCCACTTACTAGCTGGTAGCTCAGGAACCCGAGCAGCCCTGTTCTGCCTTCCTTGCTGAAGTTAAAGGCCCCACTCGTGCCCCAGGTCCCACCTCCTGGCTACCAACCAGCTTCTCCACTCTCTCTCCCTCCTTTCCAAGTCTGTTCTCATCACTTGGACCCAAATGTGACCCAAATGTCCTGCGTCTCTTTCTGTGTGGACCCTGGGGAGACCCCGCCCCGTGCCAGGTCCCGCCTGGGCAAGATCTGCCCAAAACGCCCCTCCCTGCAGCATACACCCAGGCCCTACCGGGCAATGAGCAGCTCCACCAGGTGCAGGTGACCACAGGTGGCCGCAGCATGCAGGGGCGTCCAGGACTCGCTGTCACACGCATTGACATTGGCCCCAGCCTCCAGAAGTTGCTGCGCCATCTCCCGGAAGTCGTCAATACAGCACTACAAGCCAGGGGGGCCTGAGTGGCCAAATCCCATCCAGGCTCCTCCCTGGTCCCCCCCAGCCCCTACAGCGCACACTGACCTGGTGCAGCGCCGTTAGGCCATCTTCATTGGCCAGGTCGGGGCTGATCCCACTCTCAAGGAACTGGTGGACTGCAAGGAGAAGGGAGACCGTGGTCAGGGCTGGGCCTGAAATCCACACCGGCCACCTGGACCCACCATACTTGAGATAGGAAGGTGGTACCAGTGGCAGAGGAACCAAGAGCTCCAGGGGCCTGTGTGCCCCAGTCACATCCCGATGCCTCGAGCTGTGCCACCAGGCACCTCAACAGCTCAGATGCCCAGATGAGCCTCCAGCCCTTCTTGTATGAGGCCATACCCACTGGGCACCCCCACCTCGATGACTTCCCCAGCTCCCGCACCTCCCTTCCCTTCTCTCTATCCTGCTGCTATAGAGCCCCAAGTCCAGCCCAATGAGCACAGGGACTCCCAGAGGTGAAATCCCTACAGCCTCAGTGAAGGCAGGTGGCCTGGCTCCAAAACTGGACCTGGAGGCCAGGGGCTAGGGGCAGACAGACAGGAAGAACAGGCAGAGCTGAGCCATCAAGAAGAGAGTGGACTCTGGGAACAGTCCCCAGCCAGTCCTGCTCCGTCCAGGGCTAGTCTAACACAGCTCAGCCAGTGACCGCCAGTGTCAGCCCGGAGCACAGCAGAGCCTGCCTGCACCTGAGCAATGATGGATCACAATACGTATCAGTCAGGTGCATACCTTCCTCCAGGTCGTTGCGGGCAGCAGCCTCCAGGAGAGCCACACCAGGAGGGAAGAGAACCCGCTTCTCTGGCCGGCCACCATCTGCACCCCGCCTTGGCCGCTCTCTGGGACCCTTCCTGTCCTTCTGGGCCTGGGCCCACAGACGCACTTGCTGGGCACGCCGCTTTTGGGCATGCTTCAGCCGCTCCTGGGCACTCATCCGGCCCACCATGGGCATCTCTGCCAGCAGCTCCAGGTGCTCGGCCATGGCGGGGGCTGTGGCTGGTGTGGCTACTCAAGGGGCCCACAGGGGGGCAGTGGGGTTGGGCCTGTGGGCTGGGGTGGCTGGCTGCACTGGTACCCTCAGGGGGCATCCCCTCCCCAGGGCACGGGCCCTCTGCCTCTGGTGAGGCTGGGTCGGGAGGTCCGAGAGGACACCAGGCCCAGGCTGACCTGGGGGCACAGGCCCAGCAAAGAGGCAGCTGGGAGGGCGCTGCAGCCCGCTCACCACGCCACCTGATACCACTTGGATGAGTTGGGCCTTGCCTCCTTCTTAGGGTCAGGGTGAACAGCTGTGGGAACCCACTGTCGGAAGCAGCCAGACTCAGTCCAGGGTCTGAAGCTAATTACCCAGAAGGCCTACGGGGAAGGGCCCACAGGGACCCCAAGTCCTAAACTAGAAGCCCCTCTGCCCACCTTTCAGGACTCAGGACACTAGATGGGGTCTGGGGGCAGCCATGGTCTGGTTTTCCATCCCCCTCCCCCACAGTGAGTGGACAGCCCAAGCTAAGGCCTAAGTACTGGGCATCTCAGAACAGAGCACGGCTGGTGGTAGGCTGCTAGCAGTTACACTGTGTAGATGGTCAGGACGCCCAGAGCAAGCAGGAGGATGGGTCAGTCTTGGAGGCTCTTCTTCTGGGCAGTGTGACACAAGAGCCTGAGAAGGGAACACAGGAGGAGTGGGCTCTAGGACCCTGGGCCATATGGGCTGCCCCCTGTCTCCAGGGGCTGCCCTTCATGGACCCTACCATCTTCTGCCCATTGGGAGCAAAGCTGCCGACACAGGGCAGTGGCAGGCTGGTGCTCCTCATGCACAGCATCTCCCTGGGGACCAAGGATCAGGGAGGAGAAGGTTGGCACGCAGGGATCTGCAGTTCCAGGATCACCATTCTGGCCACACTCACCCTGGGCTGCCATCTGCAAGGCCACCTGTCCAGGTAGAATCCCAGCCCCAGGAGGCCCTGAGGGCTGTATCCAAGAGTGGCCTGGCTGCTCCCCAATCCACACAGGACCCTTGCCCCTAAAGGCCACAGCACACTGGGACTGCCACACTGCTACCCCCAGCTGGGGGACCCGCAGAGACACAGGCGTGGCGAGGACCCTGCAGAAAGTGCCCCAGTCCATGTCCACAGGGGACAGAGGAACCCCAGGAGCCAGATACCAGCTTCTCTTCCCAAAGACTGTGCACCACCATCAATCAGTGTGTTAGATTTTGAAAAGTCACCTACCCCCCCATGTTTTCATGAAAGACAGCGTGATGTGAGTGGCCTTCTTCTCTAGAGGACAATGTGAGGACAGAAGCCACTTCTTCAAGTTGGGTTAGTGTCATCTTTGAGCCAGGGTGCCCCACCGTGCCCCTCTTGTGGCTACAATGGACAGGAAGCAGTACCCCGGGTCCCCAAATACAGAAGGACACTTGATCTGCCATTCCAACCACATAACCTCACCCCGAAGTCCCCAGAGTACCCTTCAGCAAGCACTCTACCAGAAACTCCTGAAGGGAATCTTGAGGTGACCTTGGGCGGCTCACTTCCCTACTCCAGGGTCCAGCTTTCTCCTCTATAGGAGAGCAGCTTAACCAAGGTGACCCAAGAGCCGGGTGTCCTCACTGCAGTGGGTGCCCACCCCAATGGTCCTTGTGGAATGCCACGGTACCTACCTCCCCCAGGCTGAGTCCTGAGCTATGAGTCACTGCCCTGCCTGACCGCCTGCCTGGTACCCTGGCTCAGACGTCACCTCAGAAGGCCAGTGGTGTCTGGGGGTCTGGGAGGGGGAAGGCTGCCTTCCTCTTACCTGAGTCTTCACTTAGCATCACCCTTACCCAGCTGACTGATGGTCCCGGATACAGCTATGAAACCATTCTGCCAGCCACCACACCACACAGGTGAGTTCTCTCACCTGGCCAAGAGCTGGGCAACTCCCTCCCATCCACAAATCCTGCCTCAAGCCTCCCTGGAATGTCAAACAGAGATAAGCTGGTGGCATTCCCCCAAGTCCTCAGCCCAGGGCTAGGCTGTACTGCAAGGCAGTGTGTGCCCCAAGAAGGGGACAAGGGTGCCCTTGCTCTCCCCTTCAGCTAGCCACCTCTCATACCTGGGATGGGGAGCCTCAAGGAAATCCTAGCTCTCAACATGCAATCTCAGCCAGGAGACATCCATGGAGACTGGGTCTTCCCCCGAGCCCACCTCATTGCCCCCCATCACTTTCCCCACCCAGTAAGGAAACTGCCTCCTGTCAATCATTCTACCAGAACGCCTCTCTGTGGGTCTCAAGGACCTGCCCCTAGCACAGAGCTGGGGCCTACGGGCTGCGAGGTCAGAGGCTGGACATGGGGTTCTGGAAACAGACACTGCTGTGGTACAGTCACTGGAACTACACGGAGTGTCTGGGAACACAGCCCTGGCCCTAGTGAGGACCGCCTCTGGACAAGAGATGGACTGGGAGTGTGGTGAGGACCCCATAGCTAGTCTCCGTCTCTGCATCTGTGGGGGCTGAGTCACGTGAACGTATTATACACTGAAAACCATGGGAGGGTGCAGGGGGGACTCTGCCTTGAGGAAGCTGAGCTGGCAAATTGCACTACTTCCCAAACTAAGACTGGGAAGAGGCCCAGTGGGCCCTATTCTCTTAGGTGGGAGCCCAAACCTCAGCAAACTCGTTGGCAGGTGATTTGACAGTGTCTAACTCTAGTAACTTTGTTGTTGTTGTGAAGTGCCACCGAGTTGGTTCCGACCCATAGCGACCCTGCATAGGGTTTCCAAGGAGCAACTGGTGAGCTTGTAGTTCAAACAGCTTTGCAGTCTGGCGCATTAACTCACAGCGCCACACCACAGTGGTTACAAATCTGGCTGTGAACCACAAGGTCAGCAGTTTGAAACTACCAGCTGCTCTGTGGGTGAAAGATGAGGCTTTCCCCTCCCGTAAAGATTTACAGCCTCGGAAACCCTGTATAGGGTCACTATGGGTAGGAACCGACTCCACGGCACATAACAACATCACCCTGGTGTAGCGCTGTGGGCTAATGTGCTGGACTGCAAAGTCGCTTGAGCCACAAGGTTGGTGGTTCAAGCTCACCAGCTGTTCCTCGGAAACCCTATACAGGGTCGCTATGGGTCGCAAACGACTCTACAGCACTTGATAACATCCAAACAGTAGTCCTGCTGTGGCGCTATGAACTAATGTGTTGAACTGCAAGGTCGGTGGTTCAAGCTCACCGGCTGCTCCTTGGAAACCCTAGACAGAGTCGCTATGGAACCTACTCGACGGCACTTCACAAAAACAATAGAGAAAAGAGAGTCCTGGTAGGGTGCTGTGGGTTAATGCACCAGACTGCAAAGCAGTTTGAACTGCAAGACCGGCGATTTAAGCTCACCAGCCGCTCCTCGGAAACCCTATTCAGGATCGCTGTGGGTCAGAACCGATTCGACGGCACTTATCAACAACAATACAAACAACCGGCCCAACTGAAAACCTCAGACCAGAAAAGTTGCCGAGCTGGAAAAAGAGCCCGCCTCTCTCTCCAGTTCCCGCCTCCTCCCAGGCCCCGCCCCAGACTCCACCCCCACCCACAAACCTGCCTCTCCAGGTCCCCACCCCTAGAGAAGAGCCAGCAGCGCAAACCTTAAAAGCTGCGCCCAGCTGACTTCCCGGCCTTGGAGGGCATGGCCCGTGCCCTGCTCTTCACCCCTCGTCAGGGTCGTGTCCGGCGCCTGAAAGAGAGGTGTCCCTGAGGCCGTGGGTGGGAGGCACCCTGCCATCACCTGGCCCCCCATGGGACTCTGTACCCACCCCACACAGGCTGTCAAAGAAGGCCCAGCCTTTGGACGGTTTGCAGGCGCGGGCGAAGCAGAGCGTACCAGTAGTCGGGGGTCGTCCCTATGGGGGACTAAGACTCGAGGGGAAGCAGAAGGGGTCCCACAGAGTCCCAAAGCGTGAAGAGGAGGAAAAGCCAGCTCCAGGGAGTGGGCAGGGTGAGCGCAGCTAAGGAGCTGGTGCGGCCAGGATGCGTGGGATGTGCGGGTTAAGTGCAGAGAGGGAGCAGGGGCCTGGGCGGCTGGTCAGGCGGTGGGCCCGGTATTGAGACTGAGGCGCAGACCACCAGTGTTGGGTTTGTGTACACCTCAAAGCCAGTTCGGGCTCGGGTGCTCTCACACTGCCATCCCCCAGGGGGCGCAATCCTACTGCATCCCTGCAGAGGTGTGGCCTAGCCCGGCAAGGCAGGATTTGTAACAAAAAACTTGGGAATAAGCCAAATGTCTTTCCAAGGGTCTGATAAACTATAGTAAATTCATGCTCCATCCGGTAAGCACTGGGCTGCGAACCACAGGGTCCACAGGTCGAACCCACCAGCCGCACTGCTGGAGAAAGAGAAAGCTTTTTGCTCCCATAAAGATTTAAAGCCTCGGAAACCCTGTATAGGGTCGCTATGAGTTGGAACCGCTTCCACAACAATTAGCAACAAGAGTTACCAAAAATAAAACAATGAAGAAACTCTGTGTGTACTATTATAGAAAGATCCCAATGTTTGTTCAGTGAAAAGAAATAGTATATCATGCTACCTTTCCTGTAAAAAAGGAAAAAAGACACATACCTATACTTGCATAAGAAACGGAAGATGCACACAAAAGCAAGGGTGATTCCAGAGGACAGTGCAGGGAACAGACAGGTATGAGGTTCTGAGTCACCTGAAGGCGTTCAGGAGGGAGGTCGGCTGTGCCCCAGAATGCCCAGCTAGATATCAAGTGGGCAATATCAGATTCTGGGGCAGGGAAGAGTTGAGGGCAAAGTGGAAGGTCTTGGCCAAGGAGAAAGGCAGATGTGTCTGCAGAGTAGGTGGGGGACACAGGGGACCTGGGCCCCAGCGACACCCCAGAAGGGGCCTGGTGTGTTTTCTGTCTGAGGCTGAAGTGTCTGGCCTCTGTCCAGCAGGCCATGGGAACCGCGAAGGCTTTCAAGCAAATGAGGAATGTGATCTGATCCAGTCTCAGA